CGCGACCGCCGCGCGCTGCCAAGGGACGGCCTGGACCGCGCGTGGGAGCTTGGTGCGGTGATCGCTGGCGGTTATGGAAGTGGTCAACTGGTGCGGATAGCCGAGGGGGCTATGCTGGCATGCCACCACGCTGGGCTGTCTCCGGGTTCTTTTGGGGTACATAGGCAAGCTTTTGGCAGTTGCGATTTTTAATTGATATTTTCAAAGTTGGAAAACATTTTTATTTTGTTTGTAAACATGCATCACACCACGCAGCTGGCAATATTTGAGAATTCATTACCTCCGACGCTGCAGAGAGAGAAAACGAGACTGGGCGAGAGCGAGAGAGAGAGAGAGAGAGAGAGAGAGAGAGAGAGAGAGAGAGAGAGAGAGAGAGAGAGAGAGAGAGAGAGAGAGAGAGAGATAGAGAGAGAGAGAGAGAGAGAGAGAGAGGGAGGGAAATGAAAGAGAGAAAGAGAGAGAGAGAGAGAGAGAGGAAGAAGAGAGAGAGAGAGAGAGGAGAGAGAGAGAGAGAGAGAGAGAGAGAGAGAGAGAGAGAGAGAGAGAGAGAGAGAGAGATATATATATATATATATATATATATATATATATATACATAAATAATGTTTTGAGGCTTATTGGACAGCTTATTAGCGGCTTAAATTAGCCAAAGAAAACCTACAGGGAATTTCCCCTACCCCAAAAACAGAAGAATAAAATGGTCGGTTTTTCAGCTTTGCTGCAAATCCATGAAGGTACGTCTATTCTTGCGTCAGGCTTCTCACATGAAAAGTAATATTGGGCTCATATGCGTAGAGAGGTCTGAGAAAGTGGCACGGAGGGAGAGCAGTGACAGCCTTTTAAAGTTGATTCTTTCCATGCATCACCATCGGGTCAATCTTTGGCAGACTCAAAAAGCAAGGGGCATGGCTCCCTGGCTCCCTATTCGTAAGGTATGGGAAGAAGATACCAAAATGCATTGAAAAGAATGCATTTTGGCCGAACAGATTCAGTCGAATGCTATTTTGTCAACGCGTCTGTCTGGCGCCGTGTTAAAGATACGAAATGCGAGTAGTTTAACTGTAGTCTACCGACATACGTTTTCCTCTAAATGTCAAATTGGCAAAATTTTGAGAAGTCGAGACGCATATTTACCGAATGTTGATTTGACTACATGTTAAGTTGAAAGTCAATTGACTGAAATGTTCTCTGGCGAGATGCTGCTTACACAAATGCTTCTCAGTCAAATATTTATGCGTCGAGATGCTGTTAGATTGAATGTAGAGGCCGCTGACATGTGTACGGGCTGTGAAAGCTTAATCGTGCCACCTATCATTTACATGCCAATCCGCATTGCAATAGGCTCACAACATACCTCATATGAATCATCAGTTTAAATCGAATTTGCAGTTAGATGCAAATTTTAGGTGCCTTAACATCAAGCGGCACATACAGTCTATTGCACATAAAACACCGACGTTCACAGCTCACCTGTCAGACCAGACCACCTCTTTACTGAAATCCTGAAAATCCTGAATCCGCCCCTGAAGGCATGCTCCTCCTAAGTCTGAGAGACATTGGCTCCTGTCTAGGCTAGAAAGCGCCCCTCTAGCCGACATAGGCTCCCCTCTTGCCAATGTAGGTGCCGTCTGGCCGATGTAGGCGCTCCTCTGGCCGATATAGGCTTCCCTCTTGCCAATATAGGTGCCCGTCTGGCCGATGTAGGCGCCCCTCTGGCCGACATAGGCTCCCCTCTTACCAATATAGGTGCCCGTCTGGCCGAGGTGAGCGCTCCTCTGGCCGGCATAGGCTCCCCTCTTGCCAATATAGGTGCCCGTCTGGCCGATGTAGGCGCCCCTCTGGCCGGCATAGGCTCCCCTCTTGCCAATATAGGTGCCTGTCTGGCCGGTGTAGGCGCTCCTCTGGCCGATATAGACTCCCCTCTGGCCAATATAGGTGCCCGTCTGGCCGATGTAGGCGCTCCTCTGGCCGATATAGGCTCCCCTCTGGCCAATATAGGTGCCCGTCTGGCCGATGTAGGCGCTCCTCTGGCCGATATAGGCTCCCCTCTGGCCAATATAGGTGTCCGTCTGGCCAATGTAGGCGCTCCTCTGGCCGATATAGGCTCCCCTCTGGCCAATATAGGTGCCCGTCTGGCCGATGTAGGCGCTCCTCTGGCCGATATAGGCTCCCCTCTGGCCAATATAGGTGCCCGTCTGGCCGATGTAGGCGCTCCTCTGGCCGATATAGGCTCCCCTCTGGCCAATATAGGTGCCTGTCTGGCCGATGTAGGCGCTCCTCTGGCCGATATAGGCGCCCCTCTCTTCCAAGCAGCCATCACGAGGGCAAGGTAGGTGCTTACATGCATAGGCGTCCAACTGGGAACACGTGTTTCCTCTCGTCGATCAGAATTCCTGGGTTCGCCGCGTGCGTGGCTCTGGTTATTTCCCCACTCTGAACAGATAAGAAATGAAGCCCGCCTGACACGTCTACGTTAATAGAGAAAACAAAATTGTCGACTCAGAATTTATATCCGTCTGATTGCTGTTCGGCAAATTAACATTTCCACAAGCAGGCACTAGGTTACTTAACCATTTGCTAAAATTCCTTTCGTCTAATTGACATTCGTCGGGATCCCATTCGGCATATTCGGGTAATCAACATTTCGTCTTATCAGTTGTCGGATATTTAGCATTTTGAACTATGTGTGTTTTGGCAGCTTAAAGGTTGTCAAAAAGCAATAGCATCGATATGCATTTCGCCTTTAAGCCGTGCACCTTTTTAACATCACGGCAAAAAGACGGCGCAAAAAGCTTTCGAGTTTTTCACATTCGATGACATAGCATCCACTAAACACCATTCAGCAAGCTGTCCCGGATCCGTTCCTACGTCCTTGTTTGTGTTTCACGCAAACGCTCATTTAATAGCGGATATTTCTTACCGAGGGCGTGATGACTCCCTACCAAGTCGAAGTGTTGGACATTTTCCGACACCCAGATTACAGTCTCACAGCCAGGTATCATTATTTCACATGTCGTGGAACTGAAATAAGCTCAAGCCGCTACCCGGGTAGGATAGCATGACCATGTGGTTTTAGCATTTATATGATGTGTGCATGCTATTTGATGGGTTTACTCATTTCATTCGGAAGTTATTTAAAACGATGTGATAAAAATAAGTTCCATACAAATGCAAGTGAATTCACACGCACGAATATTATTCATATCATGAAAAGTTGTTATAATTTTGTATCACCTCTATCGCATCGGGCTCAAAAACAATCGCTCCTTTTCCTCTGTTCTCCATTGAGCATTTTCGAGTTTGCTGACCTTGAGCACGCATGGGCCGCCCATGACCTTGGCCGAAAACACTGTCATCTGACCGCCCCTCCTCACCCCTGCGGACATCACATGGTGGGGATGGTCACACCTTCTTCTTTTACCCTCTATCTCCGGGCGTCTCGGCTCCGATGCCCTCACCCTCCGGCTGTTGACCTCTGTTGACTGCAAGATGAGATCCGGTATGAGATCCAGCAATGGTCTGGGTCATGCCTCACTATTGGAACCGCGTGCTGGACTGCCCCGTACATATTAAAGACATATTAACGGTCGCTTACCATAGCAATGTGAATAGCAATGTAAATAAGCAAGTTGAAAATAAGGCAAATTAACGAGATAAAAGGCTTTCGTACAAAAACACTGCACGATTCTTCGACGTGTTATGGTCTAGGGTTTTGGGCCTTATCCCGTCGGTGAAGTACAACTGGAACAAGTGGAAAGTTTGAGCTTGCAATGACGTAAGTTCAGTATATACGAGTTCATAACATATTTTAAAACAGAGACAGCAAATTTTGCGATAGTTATGACGGATAAACATTTCAATGTCAATAAAACAAATCGGAATGGAAACAGAACACTTCGAAGACCACAGCCACAATAACATTAACGGTAGCTACCACCCATCACATAGTAACACAAGAGCTGTGCAATAATTTGACTGCTTAGGGTTTAGCGGGGAACTCACTAATAAATATGCTCCCCAAATTTGGTTGATTCTTCCGTTATTACATGTCTAAGGGATGCCAGTGCTATTCTTCAGCTGCTGTCATGTTAATGTTCTGTCATGTTCGTGTCGCATGTGCTCCACAGGCAGGTTACCAGTCGCTGTATGTACATCGTCATGCGTCGTGCGGGCGTCGTGGTTACACCAGTGTAATATTTGGAACCAAGATGGCAGCCTTCGAGATTATGTCTTAATGGATATTCTACATTGGTGTGCTTAAGTTTGCTTAGCTTATCAGGACTGTTTCTCATAAGAAAGCTGGATATTTTTATGTTGCGGCAATGTTTACTTACAATTAGCATATCTTCTATTAACGAGTGAATTGACCATGCCAAGTAATGAGAGCGCTATCATATCATATGTAACATGAACAATGGAAGACTGGGCTGACTGAATTAAAGACTAAATCAACACACTAAAGTCGCAAATGAAATTGCTTACTGGGGTAGGATGCGCCCCCCCCCCCCCCCCCCGGCTTTTTCTCTCAGGCGGATACGTGGAGGAATGATGCATGCATGCCCTTACATATTTTCACGGAGTGGTTAAAGCTACATGACGACAGAAAAATGACGGGCTTGCGGTGCATGTGGAGTAACGATGAGCGTTACTCCATTTAGCGTGCCATGCATCCGACGCTAAGACGAAACAGCCCGTTTTTATGAGTTGAAAAAGAACTTGGAAACAAAGGAGCGGTTACAGTTAATGTTTATTAAACAAACTGAACAAAATCCTTACAGAAACAGGAGTTAGCTTGGATGACCCCTCTATCTAAGGTGCCTTACATCTCATCAGCTTATGCCTCAGCCAAATTGACCTCTTTGTCAGCTTGCTGAGGGGGTGAAATGTCACTTGCGCTGGCCCTTTTCCTAACGATGACTTGGCCTACATTCCCGTGGCGATAATACAATAGTCTTGGTCATAACGACTCCACTACCATATTGACCAGCAGTCCTTCGCAGCGGCCGGTCAGGAGGAGACATTCCGGAAGGGACGGCAGCTGACGAACGAGTTTGAGCGGTCGCAGACGGTGGTGCCACCTGGCTGGCCAGGTCTCCCGGCGGGAGTGACGGACACCTGTGATACACCAGATGGCCGGTAGGTGACCAGACGGCGAAAGCACAATGCGCTGGGCGACGATGGCTGGAGCGTTTGATTTCGTTGTCTGCCAGCACCAATATTTGTTTATTCCGATAAAGAGGAGGGCACTGTCACTTTTTGATTTTGACAGTACACAGTCAAAACATAGTCATGTTTTACCCTCAGAGCTACGAAATCCCAAACATTGAACCCACACTGATCCAAGTTTGCCGCGTAAAATCCTTAGTTTGATGTCGTCACGACTGAGTGATTGTGTCAGCTCTCAGATGGCGGGTGTCTTGCTAATCGGGGTTTTCCGCCCTGTGGCGCAGGTCGGGTGTCTGCATGGCTCGGACGGTATGTTACTGGACCCGAGATCTGCCTGCCGGTGACGTCAGTCTCGCACGGAGCTTCGGCTCTTGCTTAGCGGGCGGCAGTGGTCGGGATGCCTCCGGGGCAGGGCGCCCCCTGGTGCGCGGCGTCTGCTGCCCAGGGCTGTTCGCCACCACGCCGACGACGGCTGCCGTCACCACCAGCCGTCCGAGCACCAGCACCAAGGCCGGTGAACCGTCGGGGGCCGTCACCAACTGGTGGCAGACGACCGCGCCCGCCACCACCACTACCACCACCAAGCGAACAACCACGACGCGGCCCACCTCCGCTCCGTCAGCAGACATCACCCAGTGGTGGCAGACCACGGCCGGCACCACTCAGCGGCCGAGCACCAGCTCTGCCGGCACCACCGTGTCGCGTCCGACGGCGCCCACCATTCCGCCAATCATCACCCATCCCTGGCAGTCCACCTCGACTCCATCACCGATTCAGGTCACCGGGTGGTGGCAGACCACCGCCGGCGCGACAACGACCACCTCCACCACCACCACCACCACCACCAGCCGCGGGCCGGCCACCACCGCCTGGTGGGACGTCACCACTAAGGTGACGTCCAGCCCCTCGACGCCCGCTGCGGCCGTTACAACAAAACCGACACAAGACTTCAGTGCGTGTGGCACCCGAAATCTGGAGACGGACCGGATTGTGGGTGGCCAGGAGGCTACCCCCGGAGAGTTTCCCTGGATCGTAAGTGCTGGGGTGAGGAGGGAACGAGAGCGAGACCCACAGTTCTTGGTTCAGGTGTTTATGGTTAGCTAGAGCACTGCGCAATAGGTAACGCACACAGCGCGCAGCATTGCTATTTGGTGAATACGGCCTTGAACTCGTTTAAAACGAGGAAGGCTGGTTCCGGTCTTCAAAAACAGCGAGTGCAACTGTCGTCTTCTTCTGAGCTGTTCAGTAGCATTTCTCTGTCTTGGCAGGCGGGTATTTTCAAGGGACGTCGGCAGTTCTGCGGCGGCTCTCTGATCGACGAGACCCACATCCTGACAGCCGCCCACTGCGTCGCCCAGTGAGTACCGGACTGCTCCGCCGACGCCGTCGAGAGGCTCCCAGCTAGGTGAAATGCACACCACCTGACTTGCGGCCGCAGTGTCCTAGTTGTACATTTGATCCAGGGACACGACGGCATGCTTTGAATGCCACACGAAACTTAATGCTAGAAACTGTATCGTTGAAGATCGTGCACTGACGAGTTGCTTAAACTTACATGCACTATAAAATTACATAGCTGTGCGTTTATCAGCTTGATCATGCAGCGTTATTGACCGGAATTGGCACGCAATACTAGTATGACAAACAAATTGTCTTAATCATGCCAATGTGCACATCTCCACATCCCTAGAGGCAAATTTTTGCTGCATGGCGTGATAACCCTGAGTCACACGCCATCAGTACATATGAGTCGACCTGCTCGTGTCACGCAGCATGACGTGACGTCTCTGAGTGGCATGTCAAGCCGAGTACACATGAGTCGACCTGCTCGTGTCACGCAGCATGACGTGACGTCTCTGAGTGGCATGTCAAGCCGAGTACACATGAGTCGACCTGCTCGTGTCACGCAGCATGACGTCGTATGACGTGCGCCGACTGGTGGTACGCCTGGGAGACCACGACATCAGCACGCCGGATGAGAGATCACACGAAGAGTACCAGGTGGCCCGCATCATTCGGCACAAGGGCTTCTCCGACCAGACATTGGTGAGGCGCCCACGGTGGCAGACTGCAGGATTCGTGCAGACAGCTGCAAACGGGCAGACTCCGGCAGGTAGCAGACCAGTGCATTCCGCGACACGCTGTAGCACTTTGTGATCGACTCCGCGACGGATGCTGAGAAATGGTGGCCTAGTGCAAAACGTATGCTATAGGATCATGGTGGTAGATGTGTTCTGTGGAATACGGGGTGCACGCATAGGTATTCGCCGCCGGTTGCAGCGTCATACCCCGTAGCGATGCCCCGTTGTGTACCCCGTCATACCCCGTCGTGCCCCGTCGAACCCCGTGGTACCCTGTAGCTACGTGATGCTGTCCGCAAAGCGAATTGTTAACCTTCGCCGGCAATTCCAGCATACGGACATCGCCCTGCTGACCCTGACGGAGCCGGTGAAGTACCGGGACCACATCCGGCCGGTTTGTATGGCCGAGGGCAGCAACAACTACACCGGAAACCTGGTGACCGTGGCCGGCTGGGGCACGCTCAGCGAGGGTAAGTGTCGGCTGGGGCACGCTCAGCTAGGGTTAATGTCGGCTGGGGCACGCTCAGCGAGGGTAATTGTCGGATGGGGTAGGCTCAGCGAGGGTAAGTGTCGGCTGAGGCACGCTCATTGAGGGTTGGTGACGTCTGGAGCACGCTCAGCGAGGACTTGTGTCAGTTGGAGCACGCTCAGTGAGGGTTAGTGTCAGCTGGGGCACGTTCAGCGAGGGTTCATGTCGGTTGGGCACGCTCAGCGAGGGCAGTGCCAGTTTGGGCATGCTCAGCGAGGACTAGTGTCGGCTGGGGCATGCTCAGTGAGGATTAGTGTAGCTGGCGCGGCCGACAGAGGCCACGGAGCGCAGAGCGGGCGGCATCGGGGGCAGTCAGTGCTACAGGTCCGTCTCACAAACGAACCCAGTTGCTCCGTTTGAGAGATGACAAGGTGTTGTTTGCAAGAAAATAAAGAAGTGAGAATGGCAGGGGTGCAGAAAACTTTTGTGTGGCAGGCAACACAGCTGAATAACGTCACAAAGCGGCTTGGTGATCATTACTCTTTTGAGAGGTGCCTCAATAGACTTAAAAGAAAACGGCAGCTTTCTGATCCCTTTCCACGCCTTGAAAACCTATTGTTAGCCACATTGTTAGGTAGCTATGTATATACAATTAGAGAGAGAGAGACATATATATATATATATATATATATATATATATGTATATATCATAGCCACTTCTCGCATGCTGTTCGCTATAACATTCAAAACATCGTTCCATAAACACCAACACCTTGAGGCTAACATGACACGCCCCCCAAACTGAAGAGCTTACAATAACAAGCTGATGGGGCGCTGTTCCAGCCGGCCGTCAGCCGGACAAGCTGCAGAAGGTGGACCTGAAGGTGTGGAAGAACGCGGAATGCGCCGCATCGTACGGCAGCTCGGCGCCGGGAGGCATCATCAGCTCCATGCTATGTGCCTCACGAGATGGCAAGGACTCGTGCAGCGTGAGTAGAACTTACCGTGGTCAATCCCGACTCAGATAAGCACAGGGATATTTTTTTGACGTCTTCAACCGCTGTGGTCACTGAGGTCGCAGTCCGTCCACGCGGTTCGTAGTGGGGATGGCGAAACGCAGGTCCGATAGCCGGGCTGGAAATGGTAACACAGCACGCAGATACCGGCAGACTGTCCACCCAACTGGGCTACACCGCAAACTCTGGATCATAATCTGAGCGGCAACGGCGGGCATAGCCATGGGATATGCTGCGATATGATTTCTATGCGAGATGGTTTTGATGTCAGAGCTAGGTCCTCGCCGTTCGTTTGGCTGAGCAGCCTATTATTCCCACGCACCCAAAATCGGTCCATTTTGCTATTGGTTACTCTCACGGTCTCTTCAAAGTATAACCTGATTTTCGGATTAGGCCTCATGTCTGATTGGGCTTATCTTCCCGCCTGAGTTAACTTCGCCTGGTCCATCCTTCACGCTGACTCCTTCACTCCTGTCTCCCTCGCCCGGCGCCCCTGTACGTGACCTTGACCGCGGTCGCCGCCGGCCTCAGGGCGACTCTGGAGGACCGCTGATGATTGTCGAAGGCGGGCTGGTCTACCAGGTCGGCGTCGTCTCCTGGGGCATCGGCTGCGCCAAGCCCGAGTACCCGGGAGTCTACACTCGCGTGACGTCACTGCGCGACTGGATCGAACGCAACCGGAAGGCGTACTGAGCCGGGCCGCTGGCCGCAAGGTCAAAGGTCACCAAAGGTCGAGGGAGAGCACGGAGGGCACTCGGGCGCCGCGGGATATTGACGGAGGCTTTCTAACCTGTTTGACCTCGTTGACGTCGCTGACCTCGTTGGCCGACCCGTAACATGTGATATTTGTTCTGATGTGCGGGAGCTCACCGACTGCGTTTCCATTCAAGTGACGAGGAGCGAATCGTTTGTTTGTTGTTACGTTTTTGTCTGTTGTGCACCGTTAAGGGCGTTTGTTCGATCGTTTCACTTTTTAATGTTGCGGTTAATTATACATAGGCCATTTTAGAGTTTAAACAAAATTAGGAATCATGGGCCAAGGTTTTTTTTCGATCGATTTGCCCTTGTGTGGCGAACTGCCCAATATGCAGATAGCCCAATATGCAGTTACTTGAAGCGCGGAATGTGAATCGCTGGAAGATATATGTAGTAGGCGCTTACTTCCTACCCAATGCTTTAATGGTGATTTGTGCATTTTGCTTTGTGCTGTCCCCTGCTATCTTGTTTCGTGTATTTGATATCCTTGCAGATGCTTTTGGATTACGTGATTCCATACAATCCTTTGATGTGCTTCAGAATAAAAATAACATTTTTGTGCATTTTGTATGGTGTGATACTGGGCGCTATTCACCGTCCACGTTGTTCTTTGCCAGACACGTGTGCTGTACAGCGCCCAGCCGGTCTTTAAGTCGCCAGCGTACCCCATTTAGTACAAGTAATGTTAATATATCCGAGCATGACTTGTTAGTTGCATTGCTCGCGTAGAGAGTCCCGAAGCCTACCCTAACACAAAGTGCCCAATACATTAATACACCATTTTACATGACATCTCAGCATGTTAATAAGCTGTCCATTCTGTCACCTATACGATTGATGGCCCAATATGCTGATGACAGCTTGTCAGCAAACCCTCAAGCAAGGCACAATACCCCTGATTTGATTTAGAACGCTGCACGGTGCATGTTCTCAAACAATCAACATCATGCCCCGTTCGCGCTTATGACGGGGGGGGGGGGGGGTCAAATTCGTGGCGAAAAACCGAGCAGATGCGTTTAACGTTTATTCGTCGTAAACAACAATATGTCCCACTTTCAGGACGATCTCAGGATTGTGTACAATAACACGACTCTTCAGTTAATTTCAAGGAACAACCTACTGTTCGTGATGAAAGAGCACGAACAAATCCCCATCACACTTAGAGGTTTCTATATTGAGGTAGTACGTTATGTTTTTGACATCGTTTGATTACGATAGCGGACCGTCAGTATACCAGGAGGTATGTTCAAGTTAAACGACGATATCAAGCAACTGTTGGGATGAATCACGAGGATATTCGGCGTTTCGAGGCAGCACTTGTGGTCCAAGAATGTGCATCGGCAGTGCGCAAGAGCCATGAGCCGGTCTTTTGCTGGTCTTCGGTGAAGCTGAAATCAGTGACTTAGTCACGGACGTGTCATTTGCAGCATGAGATCTCGTAAAGTTGAAAAACCAGGAGCTCAAGACCGGTGTTACCCGTGCCAATATGTGTGCATACACACACACACACACACACACACACACACACACACACACACACACACACACACACACACACACACACACACACACACACACACACACACACACACACACACACACACACACACACACACACACACACACACACACACACACACACACACCACACACACACACACACACACACACACACACACACACACACACACACACACACACACACACACCACACACACACACACACACACACACACACACACACACAACACACACACACACACACACACACACACACACACACACACACACACACACACACACACACACACACACACACACACACACACACATATATATATATATATATATATATATATATATATATATATATATATATATATATATATATATATATACATATTTAGTGGCGCGCGTATTTTGCTACCTCAGGTCAACGGCTCTCACCCATGGCCAACAAGCCCAAAAATGTGTTTTGCCAATTACATTACACCATAAAGCTACTCTTGCGTCAATGAATGGACTGTCCCGGAAGGCCCAGACGTTGCAGTCGACCATGTACCGAATAACCAAACCTGTATGCTTCCAAAGCAGTCATTCGCTCTAGCAGTCATCAAATGGGGGTTGAGGATGGGATAATTGTTCGACTGTGGACGTTTCGGTGAATGCTCGACTGTGGACGTTTCGGTGAATGCCCGACTGTGGACATTTTGGTCCGGGGCTCAGGCACCGGGCACGCCCCTACTGCATCCCACATGCTACTAAATAAAAACATCCATTTGGAAATGACCTTGGCAGTCAGTGGTATGTAAATACCCAATCATGATTACTCTCTATCAACTGAAAACCGGCGCCTTCCTTTGCACGATTCGCAAACCGCTTCGCCGTCCACCGCGTCGCTGGGTGGCGTCCGCCGTCTCCATGGCAACGCCGCCGTGCCACCGCTGCCATGCGGGTCGAAGCTCGCCGCCGCCGACGCCTCCGAACATGCGCTCGACAGTTGAGCACCTGCCAGTGCGTAGTGCTGTGAGCTAGCTGTGCGACTCTGGAGAGCGAGCCCGCGGAAAGAGAGCTGTGCTGGAGGCAGAGGCGGATCTAGGTGGCCGTATCGGGTGGGTGGAGCCCAGTAGACGGACAGGGTGTTTGCGACCGGGTGCTTCGACCGCGGCCGACCCTGCTGCCACATCTTGCGAGACGATCAAGTTCAGGAGCCGACGCGGGGCATTCCTGTCGAGAGCGTTGCGGCCACCCAACTCACCGAAACAGCAAGTGCGCCGGCCTCCCCCTTCCCCACCGTTTTCCTGCCAGGAGTGTGCACCGAGGCCGTATCCGTGTCCGTACCGGGACCCTCCCTTCCCCGACCTACCGACATGCTCTGGCTGCTGCTGCTCCTCCCGGCGCTGGGTGCCGTTGGTCACGTGACCCTGTGCGGCCGCGCTGGCGACTGCCACGTGACCCGCTGCCGCACGGATGCCGACTGTCCGCCGGACAAGGCGTGCGAGTCGCATCTGACCGGCCTCTGCCTGTGCGCGCCGGGCCTGGCCTCCTGGCTGAACGGCCAGTGCCTCGGGCGGCGCCGGCTCGGACAGCGGTGCCGAGCCGGCGCGCAGTGTCTGGCCGCCGTGGCACACGCGCTCTGCGACCCGGTGCGCCGCCGCTGCGCCTGCGAGCCCGGGTACGAGAGGTCGGGGGAGCGGTGTCTCCTGGGCAGAGGCTCCCCGCAGCGGCCGACAGGTAGGACTGAGAGCGGCACCAACAGCGGCGCCAACGGCGGCATCAACAGCGGCGCCAACAGCGGAGCCAACAGCGGCACCAGCGGCGGGACTGGCAATGGAGCTGGCGAGACCCGGGGCCGAGCGAGGTGGCGCCTCGTCCTGGCGGTTCTGGTCCCCTCGGCCGGCCTCCTGGTGGCTGTTGGCGGGGTGATGGCGGCTGTGATGGGTCTAAGTCGCCGCCGAAACACGGACAGGCACCGGAGGCGGCAGCGGGGATCAGACAAGAGCCTCCCTCCTCCTTCCGGGGAGCTGCCGCCGCGGTATAGCCTCTGCGTGGGCCCCTCGGCACCACCGCCCGAGACACCCGAGCCGTGACGATGAGGGGTTGTCAGTAAAGTGGTGTAGTGGCTTGTAGAAGTTATTTAGCATCACGGTGCCTGCTTGCCTATGTTTGCTGTTAACCGAATTTGTTGATAAAGCAGCCATGCCATCTCTGTTTCTTCACATACCTATATTGCATGTTCTTCGCAGGAGATACCAAGAAACACACATTGGTGGTACAAAACCAAAACATTCACTTCGCTTGTATACAGATCCAATGGCGTACAGGGCTCACAGCCATCTGTATGTTGTTCGAACATATATATGCTTGTGGCACCGATAACATTTGGCAGTCACGCTAAGCTTACGAAGCATTTAACTGAAATGGTTGGCGTGAAACGCATTACACGCTCTCGTTCTTTATGCACGGCTGTGCCACCATCTGTTGACATTACATGCTACGTCACGGCTGAGGGCATGCAGCATAGCTCGATCATGAAACAGCTGGCGACAAAATGTCATCAGCCGCGCTTATTGACCGAGGCAGACGTAGTCCAAGCAGCTTGGTGAACAGCACGCCTCGGCCATTACGCGATACTCAAGCACAAATCACAGATACGTGTTTTTGGTTTGAACAACAAACTCCGCGCAAAAATCCGCCAGACGTACAGCCATTTATCTCCGGGTTCTGAAAGTCCTCGATCGGCTCCGTCACTGCCAGCGACCTACCAACCGCCACTCCTGAAAGACCTCTTGCACATCACCACGTCGCTGGGAGGAGCCGGAGGCGCCGCCGCCGCAGCCCTCCGGCGGCGGTGACGCCCGGCCCCGCTAGTTGGGCCCGGAGCCCACGCACGCCGATGGGATGTACCCCTCGCGACCCACCGCATCCTTCACCCAGAACCAGTCGCCGACGGACGTGTTCAGCAGTATCACAATATCGCCCCGCTTCACCGTCAGCGTGTTACGGCCGCAGCTGACGAAGCCGTCCCATATCACCGCCTTGTTGTTGCTGCGCGGCGCCACCATCTGTCCGCGCGGCGGCGCCACCTCCGCGCGCCGCAACGCGCCCAGCGAGCGCGCCGTCGGCGGCGAGCACGGCCTCAGTGGGTGGAAGGCGCTCGGTCGCGAGCGGTCGAGCGCGTCGGGCGGCGGCGCCAGCGGACGCTCGCAGCCGGGTGCCGACTGGTCGCGTCGCGGCCGGCTCCGCACGCGCCGCGCGGCCTCGCGGCCCGTCGACTGGCTGCGCGCCCTCTGGCGACCGCGCGCGCGATCCTGGCGCAGGTGCAGCTCAAGCAGCAGGCCGAGCGCGCGGCCGTCGCTCGTCACATTCTCGTACAGCTTCTCCGTGTCCGTCTTGTTGGCGTGAGGCGCGGCGTCGACGGCGGTGGGCGGGCTCGAGCGCGGGTCGCTCCGCCGGTCGGCGCGGCGGCGGCGGCGCGTCGGCAGCGCCGTCGCGGGCCGCGTCAGCCGCCGCCAGGGGTCGCAGCGGGCTGCGGTCGGCCCGCGTCACCGGCTGGCGAAGCGGCTGGCCGCTGGCCGCCTCCTCCCGGCCGTGCGGCGCCGGCGGCGCGGCGGCAGGCGCCAGGCCAGGGAAGTGCCGCGGTGGCGCCTCGTCGGCGTCCTCCCACGGGCCGGTCGGCGCACCGCGCGGGATGATGCCCAGCGGCGTACAGGCGCTGTAGGCCAGGTAGCCCTCCTGGTTGTGCGGCGTCTGCACATAGAGCCACTGGCGGTGCTTGAAGAGCGCGTTCACCACTAGGCCCAGCCGAATGGGCACGGTCGGGTCCTCGGGCGTGGCCGCCGGCGCCAGCACGTACAACTCCGTCCGACTTGTGACCACCATCGGTATGTTGGCTGGTGTGCGCGCCGTCGCCTGCGACAGGAAGTTGTTGATGTCGTCGATGTCGTAGCCGAACACGGACGGCGACGGCATCTTCTTGCGCCGCGGCGTGACGGCGTTCTCCTTGTTGGCCTCTGCGCTCGTCAGAGACCCGAGATCTTCAGTCACGTGACTGCCAGCTTTGCCGACGGTCTGGTAGATGGTTTCGCCCTTGCTTACTTTGTTGGTGCTTGATATTTTGGCGCTCTTCACCACGGCTTTGGCATCGTTTCGCATCTTTGCGCTGCTCCCGACCGACATGTGTCGCTTGCTGCCACCTGCCGGGTGCATCTGGAACTCTCCCATGAGTGGTTGCGGGCGAAGAATGAATTCAGATAACTCAAATCCCGATTGCCGTCGCCCTGTCTGCCACAGACGGCCGTGTTGAAGCCACTCAGCTCCTCGGATATGATACGCTCATTTCAAAAGACGACGAGACCGCTGAGGTTGTCTTTGACACTTTCGAACGCACTCAGCTGCCGCGGTCTGTCACTCAGACACCATTCTCTCCGGCGCGATCTCCATCACGTGGTGAGCGATGCCTCTCCGAAGCCGGGACCCGCCGCCGCCGTCTCCCTGCAACAGAATAATTTCAAGTCAGCGGGCATGTCGCGTCCAGCGACGCGAGAGCGACACGGCGCCGCACAAAGGCGAGACCACCACTAGGCCGTTATCGGCCATCGCGTCTGCATAAGAGGGAGGGGAGGGGGCATGATGACCGAGCTAAACAAAGGTTTCTGAGACATACATCCGTGTTCGTGGTGTCGTGTTTCTAAGAGCTCGTATCTCCTCTCGATTCCTTGTAGCTGTCGAAACGACTTGTTCGGTCGCTCTATCACAAGGCCACAACGGGACCACGGCTCCTGGAAGGTTGTTGGGGGAGAGATGGAGATGAAGGGAGAGAGAGCTGGGCGCTTCATTATTACGAGTGGCGACATGGTAGCTTGCAGCTTGTGTCTTCGAGGCCCCCAATACGCAGCAATCAGAAAGCAGCTCTGTTTGTCAACACCACTCCGTGTACATGTAACATTTTTGGACACGGTTTGAGTGCGCTTTTGATGGCCTGACTGCAAGTGCATGCCCTGTTAACAACTAACGGATGCTCACATTTCCACCGAACAAAATTAGCAGACGTTAGCTCTTTCCCATTGAAGTACGCACAACAAAAAAAAGCTACCAAAAATCCCCTAGACAGAAAAGAGTAGAAGAGGCAACGCGCCGGGTGACTGATAATGGCATCAGAGGGCAGACGCCACGAGGGCGAGGCATTATCCTTCAGCGCCCTGCGCGATATCATGCAAGGTCTCCTCCGGTCTCTCTGACATCGTTTCCCCGCACACCGGCGCGGAGCCGTCAGTCAAGCCTGCTCGCCCTCGCTTTTTGCCGGCATTCGAGCACGGCGCCACAGACAGCCGGCGGTTTGACGTCCCCCTGGCAGGCCCAGCGTTCGGCCGAGGCCGCAGACGTCCCCCGCCGTGTAATCAGCCCGGGCGGCGAGCGAGAGCCCGGCGACTGCCCGGCCGGCCCCGCCGGCGGCGTCGGCCGCTCGCTGTCCGAGGCTGTACCCCGGTAACTGCTCCGCGGCCGCTGCCAGTTTTATACGGCAGCTAAAAACCCGATGCTCAATTTATGCATGCAAACAGCCATGCAGCATCGGGCTGCGCTCGACGCTCCGCCGGCCGGGGAGGAGAGGAGCAGCGGGAACCGCGGCGTGCGGCGGTCTCCTTTCCGCCCCCGGAGCGCCCGGTGAAAGCGGGAGCTCCGCAAAGAGCCGCCCCGGCGCGGGGTGCACTGGTGGCGGCAGCAGTGGCCGCGCCCGAGCCTGGCACCGCCTCCAACTGCGGCTGGGGTAGAAATGGCGGCCGCGACGTCTTGCAACAGAAGATAACAGCGGCTGGCTGTTGCGGCGGCGCGCTCACCCCTGTCGTCGTCCCTGTCCGACGGGGTCGTGTGATGTGTCCTATCTCGCGCCGTGTTTGCACTGGGTCTGATAAGGCGGCCTGCACTCAGCCGCACAAAGCCGCACAAACGCAGGTGTCGTCTGTCCGCGATAACTCAGGGGGCCCTTCGGACCGTCCGAGCGACAAGGTGTGCCCACGCGCCCAACCGGCACACCTCCGGGGTTGACGCCTCTCCGTCCCGTGCCTCTCCCCCTCCCCTCCCTGTCTCTCGGGTGAGGCGAGCCGACGACGCGAGCCGGCGGGGCGGCGGGCCGCCGCGGCGGAAACGAGGCCCGTGCAGCAGCACATGCCCTCGGAGGAAATGGAAGCTTAACGGCCCGCTGCAGCGGGCGCCGGCCCAGCCTGCGGACCCGACGCCGGGGAAAGTTCGCCGGCTTTCGCGGTTAGGCAAACCTTCGCGGCCTGACACCGATACACCGACCCGCCGCTGACCGGCTGGAATGAGACGCCGCGGGGGGAGACGCTGCGGGGACGTGGCCGAAGAGGAGACACCGTGAGGAGAGGCGCTGCGGAGACGGTGTCGGGGAGGAGACGTCGTGAAGAGAGACGCTGCGGGGACGTGGTCGGGAATGAGACGCCGCGAGAGGAGACGCTGCGGGGACGTGGTCGGGAATGAGACGCCGTGAGGAGAGGCACTGCGGAGACGGGGTCGGAGAGGAGAAGTCGTGAGGAGAGACGCTGCGGGGACGTGATCGGGAATGAAACGCCGCGAGAGGAGACGCTGCGGGGACGGTGTCGGGGAGGAGACGCCGTGAGGAAAGGCGCTGCGGAGACGGGGTCGGAGAGGGGACGCCGCCGCGTCCGAAATTGTGCCATGTCTAGTTATGCCATGCCTCCCGCACGATCGGATTGGAATTCTGGTGACTCACCTGACTCTTAAGGGGTTCTATAAACAGTCAGCAGCTCGTCCCCACGTTCGGAGGACATCACTCGATCAAGCATGGTCGGCAAGCAGCCTTCGGAGCCCGCTCCAATGGACACAACACAACGCCACGCAACTGCAACCAGGCCACACTGTACTTGACATGGCTGCAAGCCTACCGGCGAGCCCATGTGACCTGGGACAAGTCCCATGCCGGCTCGCTCTGACTCCTAACCCGTGGCGGCGTGCCGTGCCGACTCGCTGCTGGCTTGTGGCTCAGTCGGCGTCCCATGTCAACTCGTTCCTGACTTCCCACTCGATCAGAGTGTCACGTCGACCCACTTATGACTCATTGTTCATTCAGAGTGTCATTTAAACTCACTCCCGACCTCTGACCCGTTCAGACCTTTATTTCGACTCGCTCCCCACTCATGATTTTACCGGCGTCCCGTACCGACTCGCTCTTATCTCACAACTCTACCGAAGAGCGGCACCGAATCGCTCTCGACTCCTGACTCTGCCGGAGCGCCGTGCCGACTCGCCCCTGACTCGGTTCTCGCTCCGCCAGCTCGGCAGCCGGTTCTGAGCGGCCTGCAGCGGCGGACGGCGGCAACAACGATTTCCGCGAACGACAATAAAGAGCGGCGCAGTGCAAACAGGAGGCAGCCGGCTAGGTCGCGCGTGCTGTGGGGATGAGGAGCAGAGCGATGAACGGCGCGGCGTACTGGGGCTCTCTCTCACTCTCTCTCCTCTCTCTCTCCCTCTCTCTCTCCTCTCCTCTCTCTCCTCTCTCTCTCTCTCCTCTCTCTCTCTCTCTCCTCTCTCTCTCTCTCCTCTCTCCTCCTCTCTCTT